CTTGGTAGGGACAGCCGTCCGTTTATCGATCTGGTCCTTAATCTCCCCTTTGAAACTTGTCATGAGAGTCATGAGCTCGTTTCTGGTGATGGGGACGAAGCCTTCGGCCACCTAAGGTTGACCAGCCGGCTGGTTCGCTAGGGCCCGCCTGTTCGACAGCACGTTCCTTCCTTTCGAGGGGACAGATGCGCCGAGTCTTAGGGACCCGTCAGGGGCCATGTGTGTGTCGACCTCACAGTTGTCATTTATATCCTGGTCTGTATAGACCTGAACATCGGCCATAGGCCGTTTCTCATTAAGAGGTGGTACAGGTTCTTGTGAAGTCATCTTAGAAGTACTCTCCCCACAGATGGCGCCAAATGTTTCGGAGTTTTTTGGATGTCCTGCGGGAGAGTTACAACACCAAGACTGTCCTCTGGACGCCTGTACCTGCAAAACAACGGAGACTCTTGTGGGTGGGAGTTCCGCCTCCGACGATCAAGTTAGAACGTGTATGAGGAGTAAAGTGCAGAAAGTAAAGGGGATCAGGCTCCTCTCGGAAGGGGAGTGATCATCCGACTGCTTGAGATAGTCTCAATATTCGAGCCGTAGCTCTCAAGTGGCGCAATTAAAGTTGGAGTTAATGCTTAGCAAGTAATGTACGCGTGTGTTTAATGATTTCAGAATAATGTTCCTCAGAGGGAATATCTCCCTTTTATAGGGTCTTTGAAATACGGGCCCAGTACTAGGTTTTCAAAAACCTAGGACTGATTGGGCTTGCCTAGGTATTCAGGCCCTTAAAGGCTATTTTCCCAGTTGGCAATCTGTCTGCCACGTGTCGTGGCCTGATTGGTCCACCTTGAACCTCTCACGAAGTGACACGTGGCAAGCTCTGGTTGGTCCACCTTGGACCTCTCACGAAGTGACACGTGGCGAGCTCTGGTTGGTCCACGTGGATGACACATGGCAAGGTTTCATTGGTCCACGTGGCGGGAAAAATCCCCTAATCACCTAGAGTACTAAAAAAAAAAAAAAATATTACTCCATCCATTCGATACTGACCTTCCCATTTGAAATTTTTCACACCAACGTTATCAAATTTGAGATTCTACTTTGAATTGAAAGAAGCTCTCACAATTGAGTCATAAAATGTATATTCTACGAACATGCATAATCAAGACGTTTTCATATCTAAATTAATTTCGTTGAATGTTTTTGAATTGTAAGTTAAAAACCTAATTATAAATAGAAAATAATTTTTTACCCACTAAGCAACCAATAATTGATAATATATATTTGTAAATAACTTTGTCGGCATATTTTTTGAACTTGTAAGGTTTTTGCTAGTTAAGAGAAAAAATGTGTAAAATCGGTAAGAATCGTAAATTCAATCGAATAGACATACATGCATCATAATCGTAAGATTCTAAGAGTTAAATCAAGATTTTAATAACTATGCTTGACACTATTCATTAGATGACACAATCTTTTAAATTTTTCTTAATATATAAAACATAACAAAATCATTATGTTGGGTCTTATTTGATTCATACCAATGAGTTGTTTATTAATATTAAATTGTTATATATTCCACTAATATACAATTAAAGATATTTATGGTCAAAGTATTGCGTTGACAAACGTGTGTAGTTAAAGTGAGAAGATCATTGCTTGGGATGAGTAGCAATTAGCTTGATTTGGTAATATAAAACTATATATTACAATGAGTTTATATAGGTGCAAAATCTCTCTTTGAACATTTTATCTGCAAACTTCTTACCCTTCAAAAATAGTTTCAAATAACTATTTAGCTTAAGATTTTGGTTAAATTGGTCCTTTAACATGAGCCTCAACCCTCAGCTTGACTAAAACATATTCCTGGACCTCAATCACGAGCTTAACTTGTAACTTGTGGTTGATTTGGTCCTTCAACAAACAACTTTAACGTCAAGTTAAGATAAAAATGAATTATGCTATGTAAGCAACATCTAACAATTATCGTGCATTGAGGCAGCAATATTTGCTAAATCTGGCCCGGCCAGCCTTTGATCACCTCTAGTCCTCTAGCATCAACATAATATTATATAACACAATTTATATTAAACCAACATAATTGTCTTATTTAATCCATCAATTTTTATCATGGAGTTATTACTCGATTCTCCATATTTCAAAATATAAATATAGAAACAGTACAATACTCTATAATAATAGAGAGACATAGTAGTAAATAAATTCTTAGTAATCGAGATCGAGAATCGACAATGTACAATAGAATAGTCACAAGATGTTGGGATAAAGCCATTCAAGAATAAGGAATAGTTGGTAACATTTTTTGGATCCCCATTAATTTTGGTCTATCTAACACAAATATTAAACCCAAAAGCTTAATAAAGCCAATTATTTTTCAATTATTTCTAGTAATAAGTGATAAAGTTCTTTGGCTTATAGCTTATTGACGAGGCTTTTTGCAATGCCGGAATCTAAAATAAGCGTATTCGTTGACGATTAATTTGTCGGATCGCAAATCCGTGGACGTATCGAATTACCGAGAACTTAATTTTAGAAAGTACCGAGAACTTAATTATAGAGTAATCGAAATATTGCTCCACGAGTCATTCTCATGCAGGAAGTTAAAGTCTATTTACTTATTTATTGATTGATCTATTTATTTATTTGATGGAAGTTGTTTTAAGTTTTTAAAATTGATTGATTTGGCATAATTTGTGGGTAATTATGTGAAAATACTTGCGGAGGATATAAGCTAGACCCCTCCATGCAAATGAGTAGGAATTTAGAGTTAAACGTACATACTTTTACAAATATCCTTATCAACATCCAATAGTAACAAAACCACTAACACATACAATTAAGGGCCTGACCTGTTTTATTCACCTTATTTTTACTTATTTCAAGTCTAATAAGTTCAGTTAGAAAAAATAAATGCTAATAAGGGTTGTTCAAATTCAAATTACAATTAAAATAAGTTTTTAATACGGTCTAATAAGTTCAGATCAGTTCAAATAAGATCAGATAAGTAAAAAATCAAGTGAATAGAACATACCCTTAGATAAATTAAATAACTTGTCTTTACAGCCCACTAAGCAAATGGGAACATATAACTTTCGACAACCAACAACTAATCCTAACAAGGCCATCACCAAGTTCAAGAAAATATAAGTTGGATGGTTACACATGAAATAATTATATTATGCAAAGAGATACAAAATAATAAGATACTACGTTATATATGTACAGACCTCGATTGAAATTACATTGATCGTTACACATTTGTAAAAATGTCTTTAAATGAAACGTAGCGCCTTCCTAATATTAATAGCCATTTACACCAATGATTATATAATGTAATGAAAAATTGATCACGGATTTGAGTCTTTTTTTTTTTTTTTTTTTTGACAATAGCAAAATCATTTATGTTAATGTACGCATCTAGACCAAGAAATTGCATTGATTTCTTTTACTTTCTATGTGCCAAATAGTTTTATGAAGCTAAATCCAAATAGGAATTAGGAATATATCATTTAACTAAATGAAATGTAGTTTGTCATTCAGGTTAATGACATATTAAAAGCATAAAACATATTTACCAACATAGAAATTAAAAAAAAAATTAAAAAAAAATTGATAAGAGCACGCCATTAGGTGACACATTACATAGAGACGCCAACATCCCTTGCTTTGCTTTTAAAGACAACATTATATTTGTTTTTATGCTAACAAACATCAATTCGACCCCCTCTTCAATTGGGATCTTTTCCATCAACACATTCAACGAATGAGCTACTTCAATTGCGATTGGTCATTTAAGCACAATTACTCTAAACTAGGTGATTCTGTCGTCAAACTTTCTACTAGTTTCGAAATGTTATCTTTACTTCTTTACTATATCTTGAATACATTATATTATAGTTCAAGATAAGATATAATACAAGTATTAGGGATATGGTTCCAAAATAATTAGAGATCCCAAATTTTGAGCCTTGTGAATGAATACCCTTACATACTGTGATAATGAGAGATTTTCATGCTGCTTATTCTAGCTCGAATTATTGTCTATTAATTAATCAGAATCTAATAGGTTAATTATCCAATGGATAAATGGTTTAGCATATAAATTTAGAATATTATAAGCATATAAATTTAGAATATTATAAAATGATGCAATCATAATTTTAGTGAATGATATTTTTCGTAGTAAAGATGAGATAAAACAAGATCTTCTAGCATTCTTTGAAATGATTTTTTTTAGACATGTTTGAGATCTTCTTGCATTGTAAATTTTTTATATCCCACGAAGGTGAGGTTACTTTTTAATTTTTGGTTGAAAATAATTGATGAAATAGAAAAGCGGTGAGGTTAATGTAGTAGTTGTGACTGATGAGAGTAAAAGCGTGGTGCTTACAAACAAAAGTAGTATGGAGCAATTTTAATACTTCCTCCGTTTCTAATTAATTGACACGTTCAATTTAGACACACATATTAAGGAGAGGAGAGAGAATGAGAGAGAATAATAAAGCAAGTGGGGTAAACTAAAATAACAAGGTATAAAACTTACCCAAAAAGAAAACGTGTCAACTGAAAATAAACTCCCTACAAATGAATACGTGTCAACTAAACAAAAATGGAGATAAGTAGAATGTATTATAACAGAAGGTGAGACAAATTTTGAGGAACATTGGTAGTAGATGATATCAATGCTCAAATATGTGCATAAAAAAAATTGTACAATGAGATGGTACTTGTGCAGTAGTTACAGAAATTTCATCTCACCAAAAATTCTTGTCATAAAATAAAAGTTTCATTGTCCTTGTATCTATTTTAAATAATTTCGCGTGAAAATGGATCCTAATTATTCGGGTACTAATGAAATCTATCTGACGAAGTAACCTCATAAATAATGCAAATTGTTAATCGCAATATAATAACAAAGCTTTATTACATTAATTAATTTCATGTATAATTGCAAGAAATCAAGTCAATTCAATTTCTACAATGTCTAAATTTCATTTCACCAACATACATCATAAAATCATACAATATCATACAACAATGTTTGAAGCATAATCTACTCCAACCAATCAATGTACACACATATAATTTGGGGATTTGATGAGCTCAACTCTAGTAGCTAATCATCTAGTATAGTCCTACCAAAAAGGCAATCCCCCGAAGTTACAAGTAAGCTTGCAACAACCGCAGCCTGCTCTAACCCGTATCGTTGCGGTGGGGCAGAGGCGGGGGCGGCATTAGAGACACAAGAAGATCAGCAAAAGCTTCAATAATGAATTTATGAGTATGTTTAGGATTTAAGTTGAGATAACAAAGGAGAAGCTCTTTTAAATACTCCGACAAATCATCACTTTCGTCATTTGCATCTTCGTCACCATCACTATTTAATGCTACTAGATTATGTTGATTATTTCTCTTCATTTCAATCTTTCTAGCTTCAATCATCTCCTGCATTGACCTCCTGAAGTCACTGTAAGGGTCGGGGGAGTCCTTTTTTATCGGGACTCCCCCGCCCACTAGCTTCTCCTGCTTCTGATGATCGTCGAAAGAAGGGGATTCCAATATGGAGTTGGAAAGGCCAGGGGTGGAGACAAACAACCGCTGTGAGGCAAATATAGCAGAAAGATCAGGACATTCGTCAGTGGCAGTGGCAGTGGCTGAAGAGTTGGAGAAAGAGGAGGATAGGTTATTATCTAGGAAGATGGATGTAGTGGCCGCACTCGACGATGAGGAGGTGGAGGGGTTGTCGAAAACGATATTGAAGTTGTTAAGTATGGATGATGATGGATGAGGGTGGTTGTTGATGGTAATGAGGTTGTTAGGAATGTGATCAAAGTATTTGTCGTCGTTGTCGTCGTCATCGTCAAGGGTTAATGGAGCGGAGAGAGAGGTTGGTAAACACTTGATTTTGGAGAAGCAAAGGTGGAAGTGATTCCTGAAAATACTCGGCATTTTGGTGATAGTTTTGGTGGTGTAGTGGGTTATTCCAGGAAGAAGGGAATGAATGGGTTTATAGAGTTTGTAAACAAGCTTTAGTTTATGTGGGTGTTGGCGGACGCTCGGCTTTTTATACGGAGTATGATGTGAGTGGAACTGTTCTATGACTATTAGTTTCTTTTTTAACTTTTATTAATTTTTAAATACTACTTTGTATTTTTTTTACTCTATACGTTCAAGAATCATTTAAAAATACTCTTGAACTCTCGTAGGTCCTCTGCTAAGATGCAACACGAATAGTTAAGGTTGAGATAGTAGAATAGTGATACTCTCTATGTTTTTATTTAAATGTCTCAGTTTGATCGGTTCATTTGTCAATGCACTAGTTTAATTAATGATATTTTTAATTTTTTAAAAATAACATAATTTCAAAGAAAATCTAAATTGCAAATTTGATTTTTATTTTTCTTTCAAGTAAATTTTTTTTATTTTTTATTTTTCTTTCAAGTAAATTAAATTATAGAGAAACTAAATATTAGAGTAAAAAGGTTAACATGGATGAAAGGAAAGCAAAAAAAATAATAATAATAATGAGGGAGGAAAATGTATTTCTCTTTTTATATAAAGGAAAATATTTTCAGTCATTAAGGGTGTAATTTTCTAATATTAGTAGAACTGTATTCCACCCTTTCACAAACCAAAAATAAAATAAACCAGAAAAAAAATGCAGATTGGTTAATGATGAGCTTTATAAAAAAGCGCAAGTTCCTTATTAGGTTGTACGGAGTATTTATTTGTGAACAAGGAGTCAAGGAGAGTAGTTTTGTAATGGCTCAATTTTATGAGGTAGATACTTATAGGTAAAAAGACATTATTCACTCCATCCCTTTACTTTTATCCCATTGTTATTTTTTGGGTTAAATTTTTAAAACGTTAATCATAAATTACCGTAAATTTATAAAAAATAATTCAGTCATGAGTGGTCTTGTTAGATTCGTCTCATTGTATATTTTATTCACATTTTTTATAATTTTTACGTGTATGGAAATAAAGGTATAGACGTTTTAATACGCGTCATGGAGACCGTGCACAATTAAAGGGACAGAGAAAGTCAAATGGGGCAAAAAATAAGAGACAGAGAGAGTATTATTAAAGGGAATAGTCAAGCACAATTATAATTTTATATCTTCTATTGGTTATATTATAACATTCAAAAAATGGTATTAATTTTGACTTTTTTAGCGTATATACATTGTAATATTTGTTCAGAGATATATAGAGGTAAAAAGCATTATTATCTAGTAGTTTATGTTAATACAACAACTTTTATATGTATCCAAGCGCACATAAAGATAGGTACCTCCAAGGTAGTTTTGTTTTTGCTTATTTTAAGATTTTAAAATGAACAAATTAGTAAATGAGCAAAAAATACCGTTAAATATACTTTGCATCCGATTTTTTTTAACATTAATCGACTTGCAGCTAAATTTAAGGTCCCCTATAATAAATGGATAAAGCTTTTCACCCTTATGCCTCCGAAATCCCAATAACGACCATCCTTATTGTAATTCATGCTCATGAGTAGAGGTGTCAATATGAAATATTAAGTCTGGTTGGGTGAAGTCAGGTGGGGTCTAATCGAATTTATTTCAAAGTTGAGTCATGTTAAATTATTGTGCTCATTATAATCAATATTTGAATCAGATTAATTTTAAGTAGGTTTGGTCAGTTTTGATGCCGTTATTTATAAGTCACGACTCACAAATGTCCATGCCCATATCTTTGTTTTTACAGGGTCATGAAATCAACACAATCAATTGTCTATAGGGGTGTCAATTTGGGTAAACAATTCGGGTTTGGGTTGGGTTTATCAGTTTCGGGTTATAACGGATCGGTTTATAACGGGTTGAAAAGATTAACAGGTCGGTTTGGGTCGGTTTTGAAACTCATCGGGTCAGTTCGGTTTGGTTTTTTTAATTGCGGTTTCTATTCGGATCGGGTCCTAGGTCGGGATGTAGTTGGTTCGGGTCATAATCAGTTTGGGTTGAATCGGATCGGTTTGAAAATGGGTTTAGCCAGTTTAAAGTGGGTTTTAGTTCAAAATAGTTCGGGTCCAAATCGGATCGGGTTGTAATCGATTCAGGTCATAATCAGTTTGGGTTAAATTGGGTCGGTTTGAAAATAGGTTTCGGTTCAAAACAAATCGGGTGAAATCGGGTCTGGTCATTACCGGTTCAGGTCATAATAGGTTTGGAGTGAACTTTGCAGGTTTGAAAACAGGTTTACCCAATTTAAAGCGGGTTTCAGTCCAAATCATATTGGGTTAAAATCGAGTCGGATCGTTATCAAATCGAGTTAGTCAGATAATGGGTAGGAACGGGTCATGTTATAATCAAGTTAAGTCATAAATAAGTTAGTTTATCGAGTATTGGGTTGAAAAGTATCAGATCATAAACTTATTGGGTTACGGGTTGTAAAATACTCAGTCATAACATGTTATCGATCGTAAACGGTTCGGTCTCAACGGGTTACGAGTCGTAAACAGTTCGGTATCAATGGGTTATGGGTTGGAAACGGTTCGATCACAATGGGTTACGGGTTATAAATGGTTCGATCACAACGGGTTACGGGTTGGACCGGTTCAAGTTTATCGGATTTTTGTCGGGTTTAAACGATCTTCGAGTTACTATCAAGTTCAGATGTAATCGGTTCCGGTTGTTGTCAGTTTCGAGTTGTAATAGTTTGGCTTGATAACGGGTCGGGTTAATAATGCTTCGCACGAATTCGGTTCAGTTCAGTTTCGGGTTTGAAAAAACTGGGTCAGGTTAGTTTTCAGTTTTCAAAAAATTGGTTTTTAATGGTTCAGTTTCTTTTTGGATCGGTTCAAAACAGTCGGGTTTAACGGTTCGGGTTAAAAACAAACATCTCTAATTGTCTATTAATACCACAGTGGTGTCTTTGTATTTTGGTATTATTGCATACTATATAGCAACAAAGATGTACGTCCTCCATAGATAAGAAATAACAACAATCACAAAATCAGTTGGATTGTAAGCTATATAGTTGACAAAGTGTGATTGTTTTTGCATCATAATTTTGGTTTTTCATGCGTCTATTACGTCCAAGCCACGCAATATGCGGGCATGAGGCCAATCATAAATTGCAATACATTTCATGCTTTCAATTAGGGATGGCAGATGGGTATTAAAATGCAGGTCCCGCATTGCATCTGCCACTATTAGAGCTTGTATGGGTCTAATTTTGGCGGGTAAGTAGGCGGGTATGGGTACAAAAGTCATACCCATCGTGGGTAGCGGGTAGGTGGTGGATTTGATGCCATACCCGCCTATTACCCGTCTACCTGTCCAGTTTCCCACCTTTCCGCCTAGTTATCTGCCTACTCGCCCAATTACCTGCCAACTTATTACTACTTTTATTTTTTTTATCACAAATTGATTTAACCTTATATAATATGCTATTAAAATATTTAGATATGGCAAAATGACATATTTATAGAAATTTTATGTAACAAATGTTGTTAGGTTGGCGAGTAAAAAGCGGGTGGTGGATATCCACATGGATAGAGTGGATCTAGATTTCTACCCGCTTAGACGGGTGTGGGTGTTAAAATTTTACCCGCCGCAGGTAGTGAGTAGATAACGGGTATAAAAAATTTTGTGGATGCGGGTATGAGAGAGGGGGTACCCACACCTGCACCCGCACCGTCCAATTACCATCCCTAATTTCAATAAGTGAATCTCATAGTACTGTCGCTGAATATGCCCGTTTTCAATAGGAAATATCACTATTTACCACCATTGTGCCATTGTCGTTATTCATTTTTCAATGATTTAGATTTCATTCAATACACTGCAAAAATTCATGAGATATCAACACGTACAACCAAAATTACTACACTGAAATAATTACTAAAACTTATTTTTATTTTTTACTACCATTTCTTTATCAAATGTTGATACTTAGGCCATGTATTCTTTTCCGAAATAATTAATTTCAATCCAAAATTATATTACAACCAAATTGATTTTAATCTTAAAGTAGGACACAAAAATCCATGTTACAACCAATTCAAATAGTTAGTAAAAAATCCATCTTACAAGCTGAAAGTATTACAAATAACATATTACAAACAAATGGTACTATAAAATTGTTACAATAACTTTATGATTTTTTTAAACTTAATTGAGAAGCTTTATGAAAAATATTTAAAAATTGGTTTCACTCATATAAAGATATAAAAAATAAATAAATAAATAAAAGAGAGAGAGAGAGAATTAAGAGATCGGTTATTAAATATGACCGATCTCATTAATTATAAACAATCAAAGAGACCGGATATTATAGGTAACCGGTCACTTTGATATTGTTATTGCACTTTCAGAGCTAGTCTCACGCTCAGTAGCAGTATCAATATAATAACTGGTCTCTATGATTGTTTTTTTTTTTTTAAAGTGAACTTCAACTTCTTCTTTTTTTTGGGGCTGGTGATGCACGTGCACTAGTGTGCACACACATAGTTCCGTTACTGAGTCTCGTATAAGGCGGACTTACGCTAATACAATAAAATTAGCATTTTTTTTATAGTAATTACTTTATCCATTTAAAGGTAACTTTTAATTTTTAACGAATTTGGTTATATTTTAATGTGTAGGTTTTAATGGATACATGATATGAAAAACTAATACGATTAATCTAATACATTATAAGTGTTTTTCAATGGTAAAATTTATGTTTGGAAAATGATAACTTTTGTACTATATTAAGAGTGTGTTCTATTCACTTGATTTTTACTTATCTTATCTTATCTAAACTTATCTGAACTTACTTGAACTTATTGAACTTATCTGAACTTATTAAACCTTATAAAAACATATTTTAGTGGTACTTTGTACTTGAGTGACCCTTATCAGAACTTATTTTCCCTGTACTAAACATATTTGAACTTATTACACCTGAAATAAGTGAAAAAAAGGTGAACAGAATAGACCATGTAGCTTTAAATACTTTTAGGATAACTTTAACCCGTCTTAAAATTAAGTTAATGTAACTCCGCCTTAATCAATAATTTGTGTTACTTATTTTATATCAAATTAGAATAAATTAGTTTAGATCAGATCAGATAAGAAATACTCCCTCTGTTTTTAAGTACTTGCTCCACTTTTCATTTCCGGCCGTTTTTAAATACTTGCTCCATTTCCTTATTTGGAAAGTTTTTAAAATATTTAATTCATTTCTCTCAATTAGTGGACCCAACATAAATCATATTTTATTAATTTCATATTCTCTCTCCTCCAATTCTCCTAACTACTTTTGCTTTTTACAATTTTTTATTCTTTCACCTACCCCACTACCTCAATATTTTATTACTTTTTTCAATTTCTCCTAAAAATCCGCG